GCAATCCACTCACCTCAGCCTCCCAAAGTGCTGGGATTACAGGCTGAGCCACCAAGCCGGCCAGCTGACCTTTCAAACAGAAGACCACCCACCTTGTTCCCAGCAATTCTGAGTCTGAATTCACACAAGAGGAGGTTCAAAAATATTTCTGACTTAAATCAAAGTTTAAAAAATTATAAAGGGCCGGGCTCGGTGGCTCAGCCTGTAATCCCGCGCCTTTGGGAGGCTGAGGTGAGTGGATTGCCTGAGCCCACGGGTTCGAGATCCGCCTGGGCAACTTGGTGAGACCTCATCTCTACAATAAATAAAAAAATCAGCCAGGTGTGGTAGCACATGCCTGTAATTCCAGCTACTCAGAAGGCTGAGGTGGAAGGATCGCCAGAGCCCAGCAGGTCGAGGCTGCGGTGGCCGGGAGTGGCCACTGCACTCCAGTCTGGGCAACAGAATGAGACTTCAACTCAAAAAAAAAAAAAAATTATAAAGGCTTACTAACAAATTTAGTGGACATTGGAAAAGGCAACGTGGTTGACTGCTCTTTTCAAAGTCAGTTGAAAAATAGACAATTCAATATAAATAACAATGTAATCATAGAACTTTAAAGACAGAAAAAACCCTCATTTTACAGGTACATGAAGAAATATGGAGAATGTAAGGGTGTGTGAAAACAAAGAATGAGCCAGTTCGAACCTGTGGGCTCAGGCAATCCTCTCCCATCTACCTCCCAAAGTGCTGGGATTACAGGTGTGAGCCACCATGCCCATCATCCTATTTTCAAAAATATCTTTCAGAATGCACCACAAGAAATTTGCCTGGTTATATTAGTCTGCACGCAGAAAAAAATAGGTTATAACATAAAATATTTCATCGTGGATACCAGCCAAGAAAGTTTTTGGAATACTGCAATGACTTGGAGATGCTCAAGGCCTTCTGTGATTCTAGTGCTACATTCAGAAGAAAAATTCCTCAGACGCTGTACAGCAAAAGGTATCATCACACACCTTATATCACCACAAAGAAATACCAAACAATATAAACAGCATCTATTTATAGGATAAATAGTGTAAACAGCAACTAACATTCATTTAATTCTGAGGTTTTTATTTTAAACCAAATTAGTCTCCATTATAGATTAGTTCTGACATCCAAAAAAGGAAAAACAAAATACAAAAAAATACACATTAAGTAAATGCCTACAAACATTTTCTTTTCTACTTCATAGGAAAATAAATCACACTTTAAAAAAATGTCCCTTAATTTAAAATGGTTAAGATGGTAAATGTTGTTATGTGCTTCTTAGAATAACAAAATAAGTATATGAAATGGCAAATTTAATACAAAAAGAGGGCCGGGTTTGGTGGCTCAGCCTGTAATCCCAGCACTTTGGGAGGCCCGGGCGAGAAGATTGCCTGAGCCCAAGGGTTCGAGACCCACCTGGGGAACTTGACAAGACCTCGTCTCTACAATACATCAAAAATAGCTGGGCGTGGTAGCGCGTGCCTGTAGTTCCAGCTACTTGGAAGGTTGAGGAGGAAGGATCGCCGGAGCCTGGCAGGTCGAGGCTGTGGTGGCCAGGAGTGTGCCAATGCCCTCCAGCCTGGGTGACAGAGTGAGACTCCAACTCAAAAAAAAAGAGGACAAGTACAACAGGACATATTTAAATTCTCATTAATTTAAAAAGTAGGTGTTAAAAGCTTGGGTTGTTTTGTTTCCTCTATGAAGTATATTGTGTATAAAGAGTAGATCTATATTTCTCTCTGTAATGAGGAAAGCGTATACATAAGGATCTGTGAGACACAGTTACATGAAAAGCAGGAATTGTACCAAGAACAGGAAAGGCTGATTAACCTTGATGGTCACATAATAACCAGGAAAAAGGATAATGTGTTATAAGACAATGCACTAATCAAATGTCATCCAAAAAGATAAAATCGAAGCCAGATGCTGTGGCTCATGTCTATAATCCCAGCACTTTGGGAGGCGGAGAAGAGAGGATCGCCTGAGCCCAGGGATTCGAGAAAAGCCTGGGCAACTTGGTGAGGCCTTGTCTCTACAATAAAGCAAAAAATCAGCTAGGCATGGTGGCATGCACCTGTAATTTCAGCTACTTGGGAGGCTGAGGTAGAAGGAGCGCCTGAGCCCAACAGGTCAAGGTTGTGATGGCTGTGAGCGTGCCACTGCACTCTAGCCTGGGCGACAGAGACTCCAACTCAAAAAAAAAAAAAAAAAGAAAGAAACAAATGTTCCTTCGTGTTCAAAGATAAAAACATAATGCCATGTCCCCAGATTGATGTTACAACACTCTGGCAGGCACTCACTGGTGAGCTAAAGGAATTTCAACACAACCAATCCTAGGGAGTCTACACTTGATAATTCCTCAGCTCACTTAATTCCATTAAATATTGAAAAGTATTTACTTCTAAAATGGACAAGTAGATGCCATGTGGTCTCCTGAATTGACTCATACAACAATAAGAATATTAGTGGGAAAGTGGTTAAATCTGAATCGAGTGGGCAGTTTAAGAGTAATGTGGAAACGTTAATTTCTTAGCTTTGACAGACATACCCTAGTACATAACATGTTAGCATTAAGGGAAGCTGGGCAGAGGGCAAATGGGGACCTTTCTCGCTGTCTTTGCATCTTTCTGTACACTTAAAATTACTTCCAAATTAAAAGTTGCTGAGTGCAACGGCTCACACCTATAATCCCAGCACTTTGGGAGGTGGAGGTGGTCTGACCCAGGAGTTCGAGACCAACCAACATGGCAAAGCCCTCGTCTCTACAATAAATAAAAAAATTAATGGGGCATGGTGGCGCATGGCTGTGTTTCCAGCTACTTGGAAGGCTGAGGTGGAAGGATCGCCGGAGCCCAGCAGGTCGAGGCTGTGGTGGCCGTGAGTGTGCCACTGCACTCCAGCCTGGGCGACAGAGTGAGACTGACTCAAAAAAGTAAAAGTTTATTAAAAGTAGGGGGAGACTTAATCAACTATGCGTCCATACACCCAGCGCCACAAAACTTGGCTGTAGTGATGTTCTGGTAATAGCAACAGAGGGAACACAAGTGTCATTTCGAAAGTAACCCAGAAAGAAGGGAAAACGTAGTGACTGGGAGAGGGACTGAGTAGACTTCCGTGTGACATAAAGTTTTATTTCTTGACCTGGATAGGTGGCTGCACATGTGCATTCATTTTAAGGTAATTCATTGTACAGTACTTTTTGGGAACATTACCCTTTGATTAAAAGTATTTTTAGCTGGGCGTGGTGGCTCATGGCTATAATCCTAGCACTTTGGGAGGCCGAGGTGGGGGTACTGCTTGAGCCTAGGAGTTCAGAACCAGCCTAGTCAACACAGCAAGACCTCATCTCTCCAAAACAAACAAATAAAACTAGCCAGGCATGGTGGTGTGTGCCTGTAGTCCCAGCGACCTAGGAAGCTGAGGTAGAAGGATCACCTGGGCCCAGGAAGTTGAAGTTGCAGTTAGCCAATATTGTGCCACTGCACTCCAGCCTGGGCAGTAGAGTGAGATCCCAACTCAAAATATATGTACTGTATTTAAGCACTTCCCTATTACAGGTAAAGGTTGGAATGAAAATAAGATATGGGAAAAAAGAGGTATGTAAGTAGGGAAGAAAAAAAAAGAAAACCTGTGTGAGGACAGATATAACCGTTATTAAGTTTTCAGAGCTGGAAAGGATCTTTGAAATGACTGAATCCAAGGGCGACCAAAGCCCTTTCTGAGGGTAGACATGGAGATACTGACACAGTGCAGCGAGGCAGAGCTCTGTTTGTTACCAAGATTTCTCAGGTGATTCTAATATACACCCAGATTATAAACCACTTATTCCAAGAAGATTCAGTGATCTTCCAGAGCCAGAATGCTCCAGAACTGACTTAAGAACCATATCACAAGGCTCCTGGCTCTCTATTCCACCTATGATCTAAAACCTCTAGCCAAGAGTCTTGTGATGTTACAATACCACTAGAAATAGTCACTTCTACTAACCCTAATAAGCTTATCAAATATTTTTTTCCTAACACAATGGCTTTCTTACCTTATCAATGAGACTGGTTTTGCCAACTTCATACTTCCAATACAATATCAATACATTTGTTATTTATTAAATAAGAGCAGATCATAGATTCACAAAATTATTAAAACTGGAGAACTACTTGCTTATTCATTTTAAAGATGAAGAAACTGATAGAGATAGTCACTTGTCAGGAGTTTCTAGAATTTCGTTCTCCTTTTTTTTTTTTTTTTTTTTTTGGTAAGAGACAAGGTCTCGCTATGTTGCCCGGGCTGGTCTCGAATTCCTGGGCTCAAGCAACCCTCTTGCCTTGACCTCCCAAAGTGCTGGGATTATAGGCATGAGCCACCGCGCCCAGCCTCAATTCTCCTTTTTTAAGTCAATGAGTTAGACTAGATTTCTTCCCCCTGGGTACTGTCTGACAAGATAAACTAACACACAACACATAACATCACTAGTTTCTTTTTTTGAGTTGGAGTCTCACTCTGTCGCCCAGACTGGAGTGCAGTGGCTGCTCCAGGCCACCGCAGCCTCGACCTGCTGGGCTCTGGCGATCCTTCTGCCTCAGCCTTCCGAGTAGCCAGAATTACAGGCATGCACTACCACGCCCGGCTGATATTTTGATTTATTGTAGAGATGAGGTCTCGCTGCCCAGGCGGGTCTCGAAGGCAATCCACTCACCTCAGCCTCCCAAAGGCGCGGGATTACAGGCTGAGCCACCGAGCCCAGCTACATCACTAGTTTCTGACATGGGTTCCTTCACATGTCATCCCGTTATTGGGATTCCTATGAATGTGTCTGTTGAAGATAATTGCTGTGGAATAGCACAATGATAACAGAACAGAAGACAACAAAAAAACTTCACCAAACACTTAAAATAAATCAGGGCACTCCTTTTTTATGTAGAAATAAATCATAGTAAGTGAAAGGGGGATTTAAGAATATTTTTTAAGGAATAACAATTTTAGGTAGGCAATTGTGAGGAAGATTACAATCATACACGCCAAGGCCACATGATTCTTCCACAAGCCCCAGAGTGAGAGGTCGATGCCCTGGTTTATCAAATGTTCTTCACCAGTACATCTGAAATCCAAGGAAAAAGAACATAACTTCAACACATTTACTGTGCCTTTTTAAAGAAGCCTATAGATTAACTTAGTCTTTCATAATTATCCCTTCATATGAAATAACAGTCATTGTGTGCTTACAATTTTGCTAAATACTATGCAGGCAACTTGTACCTAACTGGCCAGTTTATTCCTAAAGTAATCCACTGGGGTAGATATCATACACAAGAAGGCACTCAAGTTTAAAGAACTTGGCCAAGTTGACAGAGTCACGTTTTAGAACACCAAGTTTTTAGCTCAAATTCACTGGTTTCCAAATCTATAATGCTGCTCTCTTGGAAGGGCAGACACATTTATCAAGTAATTTCTCACTTATTCCTGATGCAGAAAACATCTTTAACAGATGACACCCATAAGCCTTATGAAGATGATCAAAGCACTTTATAGGGCTGGGAGAGGTGGTTAATGCCTATAATCCCAGTACTTTGGGAGGCCGAGGCGAGAGGATTGCTTGAGCCCAGAAGTTCGGGACCAACCTGGGAAACATAGCAAGACCTCATCTCTACAAAAAAATAAAATAGTTAGCCAGGCATGGTGAGGCCAAGGTGGAAGAATCACCCAAGCCCAGGAGGTTTAGGCCGCGGTGAGCTGTGATTGTGCCACTGTGCTCCAGCCTGAGTGACAGTGAGACCCCAACTCAAACAAACAAACAAAACCAAAAGACCTTTTAAAAGGCCCAAATTGATGGGGTATGGTGGCTCACACCTGTAATCTCAGCACCTTGGAAGGTGAAGGCAAGAGAATTGCCTGAGCCCACCAGTTCAAGAGCAGCCTGAACAACATGGTGAGACCTCATCTCTACAGTAAATAAAAAAATTAGCTGGGTGTGGTGGTGCATGCCTGTAGTTCCAGCTACTTGGAAAACTGAGGTGGAAGGATTGCCTGAGACCTGTAGATCAAGGCTGCAGTGGTCATTAAGTGTGCAACTGCACTCTAGCCTGGGTGAAAGAGTGAGACTCTAACTCAAAAAAATAAAATAAAATAAAAGGCCCAACTAAACAAGCAAACTTAAGAAACATTTCTCCACATGAAATACAATGTTTACTGTAGCAGACTGAGCTGTGCAGTGTGCTCATGCATTAGTGCACAATAATGCCCTCGATGGATGAGAAAACAGAGGCTCAGAAAATTCACAGCCCTGGAAGGACTCATAGCAGATCTACGCCCAGTGGCCTCCCTACATCACACCACAGTAGCAAGAAAACCCACTATGACACTGAATGCAAACTTACATTGCAAAGACACAGGTGAGGTTTGCTGTTGAATTGAGTCCTGGGCAGAAGTTTTGTCCCAAAAATTCATTATGCTGCAAAGCCTATAACACAAATGGGAATAAGGCAAGGAAAACATTTTATATTTCAAAGTTTCCAAAGCATTATCACAATCATGTCCGCTAAGTTTCATCTGTACTGTTATTTGTAAAAACATACAAGTCCCTCATTCACCGTCTTTGCCACACCGAAGCAACTCAAGTTATTTTCCCTGGCAAGGAGGCCCAGGGTGCAGATTTTGGCTCTGATACAAAAGAAATGGGAAGCCCTCTGGCTATATTACACCATAGCTCCCTCCTTCCTTCTCTGCCAATGTTATAACCCCATAAACACTATAATTAAAATAAGACAGTGGTGTTCAACGAGGACTGTTCATTTATGGAAACTATCTTTTGTTCTTGTTTTGTTTTCATAACAACAAGTGCTAATTAATTCCTGGGAGTTAGAAACCCAGCTATCCTATGTTAAAGATGCAGACGGTTTACTTTGGAGTTGTCGAGCTTACAAGGGCCAGTGTGGCCAGGAGAATGTACATACTCTGTGTTTTTCCTCTAATTTCCCTTTCAGTATCAACGACCCATTCTTGTCTCCTACCCTCTCATTTGTTTCCCCACAGAACTGAAAGGCAACAATATGTTTTTCATTAATTAGTCCATCTTTCTCCTTCACTTCCTCAAAGATTGGCTGAGGAAAATCCCTCATGACTCCCTGGCCTCGGGCTAACCAAGGCGAAGAGGAAATTCTCACTCAGGCTCCTAAAATGAAGTTTCTGGATAGGAGACTTTCGCAGCCCACGGCCAGGAAAATGAGATAGGCAGGTTTTATTTCAGCTGTTCCTAGCTTGGGAACCCACGACGGACAAGTAAGACCTACCGTGAAGCCGTATCGCGGAATGCTGAAGTACTGAAGCCACGACAGCCAGGATGCGATGGTTGTGAGATTTACCAACAGCCCTGAGAAAATCTTCAAAAAGCAAATACTAAGAGTCAGAACCAGCAGAGTGATTTCCCACAGAGTTCTAGGAGAATAACTTCTGCAAGTCCCCTGCGACTTTCTCAACATTTCTGCTAAGACCAACTCTCTTGAAACTCATTCCATTTTCTCTAAATACTTATTAAACTTTCTCCTCTGCATGTGTCCATCTCTATATAGCTGACACTATTTTTTTCTTCTTTTTATTTATAATTTTTTTTTTTTGAGTTGGAGTCTCACTCTGTCGCCCAGACCGGAGTGCAGTGGCTGCTCCCAGCCACCGCAGCCTCGACCTGCTGGGCTCTGGTGATCCTCCCACCTCAGCCTTCCAAGTATCTGGAACTACAGGCACGCGCTACCACGTCTGGCTAATTTTTTTATTTATTGTAGTGATGAGGTCTCACCAATTGCCCAGGCGGGTCTCGAACCCATGGGCTCAGGCAATCCACTCACCTCAGCCTCCCAAGGCGCGGGATTACAGACTGAGCCACCGAGCCTGGCTTATTTATAATTTTTAAAATTTATTATTTAGAGACAGGAGTCCATCATGTTGCCTAGGCTAGTCTTGAACTCCTGGGTTCAAGTGATCCTCCTGCCTCAGTCTCCCAAAGTGTTGGGATTACATGTGTAAGCCACCACACTCAGTTATTTATGATTTTTAAAGGAAGGACAAAACAGCTATAAAACATATATATATATATATATATATGCCGAGCGTGGTGGCTCATGCTAGTAGTCCCAGCACTTTGAAGGCCGAGGTGAGAGGATTGCCTGAGTCCACAGGTTTGAGACCAGCCTGGACAACTTGGCCAGACCCCATCTCTACAATAAATCAAAAAATTAGCCAGGTATGGTGGTATGTGCCTGTCCAGCTACTTGGAAGACTAAGGCGGAAGGATCACCTGAGCCCAGCAGATCAAGGCTATGGTGGCCGTGAGCGTGCCACTGCACTCCAGCCTGGGTGACAGAGTGAGACTCCAACTAAAAAGAAAAAAAATATATATATATATTTCATTTAATTGGTCAATTATTCTTGCCAAGACTACATACTCAACTTTCTTTGTAAGTACATACAATGGAAGATCAAGAAGTGCTGACTCTTCTCATGATACAACTATGTGTTCCTGCCAATATATACATCTGGCATGCCAAGAACTTGTACCAGAACAATCCTGAGCATCACATGCCATCCCTACTTCCATGTCACAGTTAAGGTTTGCTATTTAGGCCAGGTGTGGTAGCTCATGCCTGGAGTTCCAGCACTCTGGGAGGCTGAGACAGGAGGATTGCTTGAGCCCAGGAGTTCGAGACTAGCCTGGGCAACAGAGTGGGATCTCATCTCTACAAAAAAATTAAAAACATTAGCTGGGCATGGTTCTCCAACACCAACATGAAAGTCAGGTAAATAACCTGTCACTCATGAGGGAATCTGTCAATTACATTTTTTTTCTGGTTTTTGAAATGCCAATTTATCAGGGTTTCATAAGATGTCACCAAAAGAGCCATCTTTTTTCTTTTGAGTTGGAGTCTCGCTCTGTTACCCAAGCTGGAGTGCAGTGGCACACTCACAGCCACCGCAGCCTCAGCCTGCTGGGTTCAGGCTATCCTTCCTCTTCAGCCTTCCAAGTAGCTGGAACTACAGGCATGTGCCACCATACCTGGCTACTATTTATTTATTGTAGAGACAAGGTTTTGCCATGTTGCCCAGGCTGGTTTTGAGCCCATGGGTTCAGGCAGTCCTCTCACCTCTGCCTCCCAAAATGCTTGGATTTCAGGCATGAGCCACCGTGCCTGGCTAAGAAGCAGCATCTTTTAAAAGCTCATTAATAACAACATATTAGCTAAAGTTGCAGTAACTGCATTACAACCACGGCAAAAAAGCCTGGACAAGGGCAAAGAGAAAAGCTAGAACATTCTCTAACGTGAGCTATTTCAACACATGAACTCCTTAAAGCACAGTCCCATTTCAGAACCCTCAGAGCAGGCTGTATGTGACACGTGAATGCGCAGGAAGAAATGAAGGGGGAAAAAAACTTCTTTTAAGAGAAACATGGTTCATACTCACCATCATAAATACAAAAGTGATGGTCATGAGAAGCGTCGCCACGGAAACCACGCTTTGGCCTGCGGCAATGGCCAGCCCCATAGAACTGGCTGCGTAAGCCACCATCATCAGTGTAAATATCATGATGAAGAAGGCGTCTGCCGTGGGCTTCAATCCTTAGTCAAAAAGAAAAGAAGGGGTTAACCCAAGGATCTGGGTCCCGTGTGTCTGGGATCGGTTACTGTGCAAATTTAATTGAGAAATTAATATTCGAGTGAAAAAGTCATCCAGTATCCAGTGACGTGTGCATCACCAACGTCGCTGTCTCCCTCCATGTAACTGCATAAAGTCACCATGCAGCTTTCTTTTTCATTCATTGCATAAGCACTTGACCCTAATGACACCTACGTGCCTTTATGTGTAATTATGAACCATTTCTGGGTTCCTGAGACAGAGAGCTACTGGCAATACAACTGGCTCAAATTCTACGGCCTTCTTTTCACTCAATGTTGGCGCTTCACGTTACTCACTGTGTGCTGTGACGGTGTGGATGAAGACACTGGGGTCATCAGGATGACCTGACCTCACAGAGAGAGGGAGGGTGCCTCCCTAACCCCAGGCTCCCTAGACAAATCACCACCTAACACCAAAGGGGACTAAATGATGTTTTGTGAAATTACTTTCTGAACTATGTTGAGCTAAAACTGTGGGTATCACAATCTGAAGATTTTGCAACAGCCACAAAAATTCCAGTCAGAGTCCAGGATCTAAATCCTATGCCTAATTATTTATAACACACCTATTCTTTATCAAGTGAAAGTTTAAGCTCAATGAGTGGTTCTCACCTTGCAGTACTGTGTCAGAAATAGGTAATTCTGTATCGGGTGCTATGGCTCACTCCTATAATCCCAGCACTTTGGGATGCTTAGGTGGGTCGACGGCTTGAGGCCAGGAGTTCGAAACCAGCCTAGGTAACACAGTAGACCTCGTCTAATTTTTTGTAGAGACAAATGTGGTGGCATGTACTTGTAGTGCCAGCATTGAGAGAGACTGAGGCAAAAGGATCATCTGAGTCTAGGAGAGGGAAGCTGTGGTGAGCTGTGATCATGCCACTAGACTCCAGCCTGGGTAACAGAGGGAGACTCCAACTCAAAAAATAAAAGTCTTTCTGTTGTGTGTGTGTGTGCACATGTGTGCATGATGAACCTGGGTGAAGTCTGAGCATAATGCACCAATGAATCCCTACATCTATCAAACAACCATTTCCATAAAATGAATAACCTCCAAAAGTCACTATCTTTCTATCATTAGATAATGGAGGGGGAGGAGATACATATGTATTTATTCTTACACTTTTTTTTTTTTTTTTTTTTTGAGTTGGAGTCTCACTCTGTCACCCAGACTCGAGTGCAGTGGCCGCTCTCGGCCACCGCAGCCTTGACCTGCTGGGCTCCGGTGATCCTTCCGCCTCAGCCTTCCGAGTAGCTGGAACTACAGGCGCACACTACCACGCCCAGCTAATTTTTTGATTTATTGTAGAGATGAGGTCTCGCTGCCCAGGCGGGTCTCGAACCCGCGGGCTCAGGCAATCCACTCACCTCAGTCTCCCAAAGGCGCGGGATTACAGGCTGAGCCACCAAGCCCAGCCTTGTTACACATTTTAACTTCAGTCACCTTCAAAGTACTCTCCATTCAATGCAATACACCATCAGGACGCTTTCCCCACTGCTCAAAACAGCTTTTGAACTCATCCATTTTGATGCCTTTTAGTGCTTCTGCCATTTTCTGTTTCCCCTCTTCCACACTGGTAAATCATTTCCCTTTGAGGACTTTTAACATCCAGAGAAAAAACAACAAAAAAAGGCACTTGGGGCAAGATTGGGCAAATAGGGAGCGTGGGGCATGGGGTCATGCCCTTTTTTGGTCAAAAACTACTGAACACTCAGCACGGTGTGGGCAGGTATGCTTGTGAATCACCCATCATGAAATAGGCAAACATGTCAAAAGGCTCTCTGCGTTCACTGAAACTGAATGCAGCCTCTGACAATAACACTAGCTGCTGCACTAATGCCGATGGGTTCCTAGAACACTTCTGGCGGGGGAGCCTGTACTACAAGGGGCTCACCCTCCAAAATATAATTCTGGGTTTTTTGGGTCTCCCGTCATATATAGATGTGTGTGTATATCTAAATGAAGATAACTAAAAATACAGATAGGTAATAAATATCTGAGCTTCCCCAGCATAGTCTCAAAAATTTGTAATTCTTCTCATGTTTGTATACAAACACAAGCATCTCTCAGTAAAATAGTTTTATAAATAGTTTTAAAAGTTCAAAACAGTCTGGACAAAAATGCCCACAGTGAACAGCTATTTCGGAGTGTGCACAATGAAGAGATGCTGCCCTATCTCACAGATTAGTTTGCAGCTTTGAAAACTGAAAACATGCTAGCGAGGAGAAATTTGCTTCACCTCCTATGCAAGTCTAAAGACACATCCTTTTTGTTTTGTTGCTTACCTAACATGAAGTAGATTATACAGGTAAATATAATACTTGGTAGCATCCTCATGGGTAATAAATCAGATAACAGTTTCCCAAAGAAATAAGATGACACTCTGTAGTATCCGCTGATATATTCATGTCTATAGAACAAAAATACATATCATACATTCCAGATTAGTTTAAGATAGCAGGAAGAAATAGGTGTGGTGGCTCATGCCTGTAATCCTAACACAGAGACCCACTAATGTCCCTCCATATTGCCACAGCCCCTAGAGAAGGGCATGGGGGGAGGAAGACTCAAGCATTCCTGCACATTTCTGAGCACATTACAGAGTCCCCTAGTCTTCTATGCACGCCCAGTAAGTAGCTTCAGGGAATCCTTGACTTCCTTGCAGACTACGCCCAAGATGTAATTCCCTAATTTCTCCCTTTCTTTGAACTATATAGTATCAATGTAATCATAAGTCTTATGATTTGCATAACTTTTGCAATGCATGATGTCTTAGGCCTTGTAAACTTCCTTTACTCTAAATGTCACTATCTAAATGTAAAATGCAGCTGTAACTGAAGTTCTGAACAAGGCTCTGCTGATCACGTGGCGAATACACAGGTAACGACAACTCTGAACTATAAAAGTGGACTGCAGGGCCTGAAGTGGGGACAGAAACATTTTAGAAAGATCTCGAGTCCGGCTCTGCTCCCTGAATTCGAACTCAGAAATAAACTTCTTTCTACCAGTTCTCTGCCCCTTTGATTTGTTGGTATCACGAGGAGCAGCCGAGCATTATTACTAGGACCATAACAATCCCAGCACTTTGGGAGGACAGGGTGGGAGGATCGCTTGAGCCCAGGGGTTCAAGACCGGCCTGGGCAACAGAGGGAGACCTTGTCTCTATAAAAAAATTTTAAAAATTAGCTGGTGCAGTGACACACACCGGTAGTCCCAGTTACTCGGGAGACTGAGACTGAAGGATTGCTTGAGCCCAGGAGCTCAAGACCACCCTAGGAAACATAGCGGGACCTCATCTCTACAAAAAAAAAATAGCTGGGCATGGAGGGGTAAGGCAAAAGCGAGGCTTTGGTGAGCTGCGATCATGCCACTACACTCCAGCCTGGGTGACAGAGTGAGACAAAAACAAACAAATGAACAAACAAAACTACAAAGCAACGATGATTGCCTGATAACACAAAAACATGAAATAAAACATTAAATAAAATTCATAAGAAAGAAAATAAATAAGTAAATAAATAAATGCTAAGAAATACTAGTCATCCCCACGATCCCATCCTTGGCCCAGTTCTAGATGTGATCATGTGACCAGTTTGACCAATAGCCCGAACAGAGACCTACTCACATAAAGAGCTTCTTCTCGACCACAAAGAGTTCCACAGCTGACACGCTGCTGAAACACTGGTTGGTTGTCAGGAAGAAGAGAACCCCAGCTCTGTCAGGAGAAAGGGAACAAAAGCACCACAGTCAACTCAGCACTCTCAGATCGATTTTCTACTCACGAAACTCTTTCCACAAATTGTATCTTATGAAGTTCAACAGACAAAAAAAGAAGTGAAACTGTTATGGCTGTCAGAAAGGGAAGGATGAGCACCATCAGGCCTCTCTCCATCTCTTATGTCTTTATTTGTACCCCTGAGATCCTGTATTTATAGAACTTTTTTTGTTTTGCTTTAAGTATTATTCTTATTTTTTTTGATTCAGGGTCTCACTCTGTCACCCAGGCTGGAGTGCAGTGGCACGATCACAGCTTACTGTACCCTGGACCTCCTGGGCTCAGCCAGGTAATTCTTCCAGCTCAGCCTCCTGAGTATTTGGGGCTACAGGCACACACCACCATGCCCAACTTTTTTTTTGGAGGAGGAGAAGAGACAAGGGTTCGCAATGGTGCCCTGGTGGGTCTCGAACTCCCAGGCTCAAGAAATCCACCCACTTTCCACTTCAGCCTCCTAAAGTGCTGGGATTACAGGTGAGAGTCACCACACTCAGCCTAATGCTATTATTCAGTGTGTTCACCATTACTGTGCAACGTATCTCAAAGAAAAAAGTCTTATTTCCCTTGCAAATTGAGGGCTTTGTATCCTTTGTATCATTTCCCCATTCCGCCCAACCCTCCAGTCTCTGGCAACCACCATTCCGCTGTCTCTTGAGTCTGACAGCTTTAGATACCACAGTAAGTGAGAGCATGTGGTATCTGTCTTTCTGTGTTTGGCTTATTTCACTTAGCATAATGTTTTCCTGTTCTATCAATGTTGTCACAAATTGACAAAAAAATCATTCATTTTTAGCACTGAAGAGTATTTCACTGTGTAAACCACATTTTCTTTATCCATTCATTTGCTGATAGACACTTAAAGGCCAACTCCACAACTTGGCTACTGTGAATAATAACATTTATAGCGCTTGCAATAAACATGGGGGTGCAAGTATTTCTTCCACACACTGATTTTAAATCTTAGGGGTGATACTCAGAAGTGGGATTGCTAGAGCTGAATATTATTTCTAGAAAATATCTTTTCCTTTACTGAACACTAATTTGTTTAGTTATCACCACAATCCTGTAAGGCATTTATTCCAGATGCCACTATTAATTCAAAAAGCTCATACGCTACCCATGATTAAATTCAGGTTCTCAGCTATACAAGTTAGAGAAAGAGCAAAGAGACTGTGGACCTCTCTAGGAAAATTCATCCCTAATGAAGAGAACTAAACCACTGGCCTCCAAGCAATTTCAAATAATGAGGCACTGGTATTCACCTGAGCAAAGCATTGAACACTCATTCCAGAGACAGTGCTGAAACATTTTTTTCTTAATTAAACAATCAACCATTAATCACCCAGGAGGGATTAAATAAACCATACACACAGCCCACTTTCACAAAGTCCAAATGCTTATAAAAAATTACAGGGAACCGGGCTTGGTGGCTCAGCCTATAATCCCGCACTTTGGGAGGCTGAGGTGAGTGGATTGCTTGAGCCTGCGCGTTCGAGACCCGCCTGGGCAACTTGGCGAGACCTCATCTCTACAATAAATCAAAAAATTAGCCGGACGTGGTAGCGCGCGCCTGTAGTTCCAGCTACTTGGAAGGCTGAGGCGGAAGGATCGCCGGAGCCCAGCAGGTCGAGGCTGCAGTGGCCGGGAGCGGCCACTGCACTCCAGTCTGGGTGACAGAGTGAGACTCCAACTCAAAAAAAAAAAAATTACAGGAAACTTAAGTCAAAAATATAAATTAAGGCTAAGCATGGTGGCTTACGCCTATAATCCTAACACTTTAGGAGGCCGAGGTGGGAGGATCACTTGAGGCCAGGAGTTCAAGACCAGCCTGGACAGAAAAATAAGATAAAATAATAAGCTGGGCATGATGCTTCATACCTGTAGTCCTAGCTACTCTGGAAGCTGAGGCAGGAGGATTGCTTGAGCCCAGGAGTTCAAGGTTACAGTGAGCTGTGATCATGCCAATGCACTCCAGCTGGGGTGACAGACTGAGATCCTAGCTCTAAAAAACAAAACAAAGCTGGGCTCGGTGGCTCAGCCTGTAATCCCGCGCCTTGGGAGGCTGAAGTGAGTGGATTGCCTGAGCCCGCGGGCTCGAGACCCACTTGCGCAACTTGGTGAGACCTCATCTCTACAATAAATCAAAAAATTAGCCAGGTGTGGTAGCGTGCACCTGTAGTTCCAGCTACTTGGAAGGCTGAGGTGGAAGGATCACTGGAGCCCAGCAGGTCCAGGCTGTGGTGGCTGGGAGCGGCCACTGCACTCCAGTCTGGGCGACGGAGTGAGACTCCAGCTCAAGAAAAAAAAAAAACAAAACAACATCAACAATAACAAAAAACAAATGAATGTCCTATTTCTCCAGAAAACAAAATAGTTAAAACGCTCCTTTTATTCTCCGGGTTTTTCCACCAAGAACTTCCATGGATAGATTTCCAGTCCTCCTTAAAATTCCAGTTGAGCATAGGTTCCTTAATATTTTTTTCAAATGCTTTCTGCTGCACAATACAAATGGTTCATGTCCTCTGGATCCTGTGACACATTCTATGTTGGGTTACGAAATGGCATCCACAGGGGACACAAACCATCCATAACTAGCAAGTCTGGAAATACTCCAGTGATCTCAGTCCTCAGGGAAGGTTAGAAAGATGTACAGTGACATTACTCTGGAAAATTGTTGTTTGATAATAATATCGTTGGAGAGCAATACTGATTCCATACCAAAGAGAATTCATTTTACCTGAGTGAAACATTGACTTTCATGCTTATTCTTTTCTTCAAAAATAATCAGCCTTTTCTAGACACCAAAACAGATTGAACATAAGCTTCTCCAACTTTTCTCAATAGTAGAATGGGGATAATCTGTCTACCCTCTCTGGCTGTAGGGAGGTGACCTGAGACTGTGGACATCAAGCAAGAAGTGCAATGCCTGGCACAGAGTAGTCCCAAATACAAAAAGTACTGAGAGAATTCAGAGGTCTGTCACGTTGCTCAGAACATGACAGCAACAACAAAATTGTTAACCGCAGAATAGGAAAAAACTGAGGACCAGGCATGGTAGCTCATACCTGTAATCCCAGCATTTTGGGAGGCCAAGTTAGAAGGATTGCTTGAGCCCAGGAATTCAAGACCAGCCTGGACAACATAGTGAGACAAAAATTTTTCAAAAAATTGGCTTGGCGCCTATAGTCCCGGCTACTCAGGAGGCTAAGGCAGAAGGATCACCTGAGACTCAGGAGACTGAGGCTGGAATAAGCAGTGATCATGCCTCTGAACTCCAACCTGGGTGACAGAGTGAGATCACAACTCAAAAAGAAAAAGAAAAAAAAACTTAAGTTCCACCCACCTACCCAACCATGAAGTCAAAGACATTTAAAAAACAGAGGCCAGGTGCAGTGGCTCACACCCATAATCCTAGCATTTTGAGAGGCTGAAGTGAGAGGATTGCCTGAGTCTACAAGTTCAAGACCAGCTGGGAAACTTGGTAAGACCTCATTTCTACAATAAATCAAAAAATCAGCCAGGTGTGGTGGCATGTGCCTGTGGTTGCAGCTACTTGGGAGACTGAGGCGGAAGGATCACCTGAGCCCAGCAGGTCGAGGCTGCTGTGGCGATGAGCGTGCCACTGAATTCCAGCCTGGGTGACAAAGTGAGACTCCAACTCAAAAAA